TTATCGACGTCTCTATTAGGGAGCTCTCTGTCGAAGGAGACCCTCCTACCGCCCCGGCCAACACTGTCGGTTCCGTTTCCGAATTTAATATCTCGCATCATCAATATATACGGAATTCGTCGCGCCAGCTTCGATCCGATAATCGATACGCGTATATCTGGAGGCGGCGACTGGGAGCGGATGACGGATTCGTATTCCGTCGTGAAATGCGGAGGTGTCTGCTGAAAGTGGTCAGAATCCTAGAAACCACTCAATTTATTTAAATATTGTAATTTATAAACCCTAGCTGCTGGATGTCATGGCACAGTGTCGTTGATTTTTAGCAATTTCTTTTTACTCTAAAATTACAATATTTCTATATATATAAAGTTAGTTTATTTGAAGCCACCATCGACTACTAATCTTACATCAATCAAGAACGAATAATTTTTGTGTGGAATGTAATATGATGATACATTAGCAGACGTAATAACCGATCCCGAACGGTGACAGGAGCGGCGGACCAAAGATTAGCGGACAGCTCCCATTCGAGGAAAGAGAAACGAAGTGGCAGACGAGAGAGGATAATAACGTAGGTAGCCTGCGGCACCGGATGATTAATAAATCAGGCATGCCGTTGAGAGAACAGTTTAACCTGCGACCCCGGCGCGATGCATCGCGCTCCTTTTCATTTTTCCTCGTCTCCTCATCCTATTCGCATCGCGCACAGCGCGGCGCGGCACGGCGCGGCGTGCTCTCACGCGGCGCGTGAATCCTTTTCGCGACGGCCTAAACGGACTCCTCCGCGCGTCGGACGGCGCGGCGCTTCTCTCCGCTCGCTCACGGCGATACAGATACAGTGTGGCTAATGGCCCGTTCCCACACAGACCTTAACTCTGAATGTTAATTGTTGCTTAAATTTATGACAACCCGTCCTCCATCTCCCCCCCCCCCGGTCCTTCTTCAACTTGGTCTTGCCTGTCGGGCGGCTGTCCGTTCCACCCCATTCCGACCGAATAGGCCACGGCTATCCATTGCTAACGACGACACCGCGAAACAAGCCCGACGATTAGCGATTCGGAAATATCGGTATACGAAGTGTGTCACTCGTGACAAAGGCGGCGGTAAATTAATGCCGCAGAAATCTCCGTTGTCACCGTCGTCGCGGAACTTTGAACTTGTGGCGCACTGGAATTTGCGATAATAATACCGAGATAATATGACCTACGATTGCACAATAATGTTTGTGACGTTTAATTGAATCGATAACACCGTATTTCTGCTTATTAGGCAAAACATGTGAAATATTTTATTCAGCAAACGTGATTTGTAAATATAACAGTCAGTATATATACTTTTTTAATAATTTGTTGAGGGATTAAAGTCATATTATTGAAGAAAAGAAGAAAGAAATAAGAAAAATATATATAGATGATTCTCTTTCGCATACACGTATTAGACTTTGCTACATTGCGAAATACTATCTAGTTTATCATCGTCTTTTTTTTAAAGGTCAATTGTGGATTGAAATGTGACGCGTTTATTTGTTACGGAAAAATGTCGCGTGTGTGTCGACCGTTCTGTACAGTAGGTCAGATTTCTCATTTAGGAATCTCGTGGAAGTTTGTATCACGTCTCGCGTAAGCTTCCGCGGCATTCGCGCAATGCCGCTGAAATATTTGTGAAGTGCTTTGAATTTCTGGAATATATATCGTTAAACCTATGATATTTTTCTCTATGAAACTATCGCCATTCGTTATACGAAACATAACGTACGACATTTTACTGAACAAACAGTACTCGAATTTATAACGCTGGCCGATTTTCTACGGACCATTGGTTTATTATTTCCGCGGTAAGGAGAGCTGAGGGAAAAAAATCGGGCTAGTAGAATGTTAAAGTCGTAAAAATCTAATAACACACATCGAGCAATACATCGCGGGTTTATTTTCTTCTCGGTATACGTTAATAATTTTTCAACTTTACTAAACTATAATAAAATATTTGTAAGATATAGCAGAAAATAATCATTATTTTAAGACATTAGATATTTTAAATTACAATTGAAAAACGTTTCTTCTCTCAAAAGAGACGTGTTTCCTCCAGACAAAATTTTTTTCAGCGGACGCTCTAAGTAATCCGGATATCCGGATAAAGTAGAACTTCTCTCGGGTTCCTCTCCGTGTGCCTCGGTCGGGCGTCGACTTTCGAGGACAAGGAAGGTAGTAAGGGAGAAACACACGTAAAGATTCAGCGGGAGAGGACAGAGGAGAAGCGGCGTTAGTCGCGTGGTACGTTGGATCGAGTGACTCAGAGATTCCTGGAGCCGGACTGACAAGCAAAATGGGTCAGACGCGGTGCACTTAATAAAGGCAGAGATAGCGCACCGGGCCCCCACAATTACCATATGAATTGGTGGGCACCATCCGAAAAGAAACAGTGTTATTGTTGCGCAGTCGCGAAGGCGCGCTCGCGCGCGCACGCCTATTATGTGTGGTCTCGGTCGTGTGCGTGCGCCTGTCATCAGCTGTCAGCGGCAGCTAGCTTGACGAGCCATCGCTCACCTCACTGTCAACGAGTTTCCACACGTAGACAAGACACACACATATGTATGCGCCGGCGATAGTACGCCAGCGCACGTTCACGCGCGTGCGTTGCGCACGTTCCACGCAACCGGTTTCACGGCCGCGCCGCGACATCACCCTATACGGAGGCTCCCCGTCTTGCCACTTTTATCGTTTTCCGCTAATTTGATTCCGGTCTTGATCCTTCGGAGGATAGGCAAATTAGGCGGCTATATAGGAATTGAGAGATCGAGGGTCGATGTCTTAATCCACCCGCGAGAAAGTGACCGTCGCAAGAGTAACGCATATCTTTTATTTAATTATTTCGATATTTTTCTTTAGTCTAATAACAGCAATTTCTTTATTTCTTTTGTTTTATGTTTTATATTTTTTATAGAAAATTATTTTCCCAGCGTTTTTTTTTATCAGGTCACAAATATCGATATGCAAGTAATGTCTAGCTTCCACATTCCTGAAAGTTTTTCGAAATTTCCCACAGTAAAGAACTGTGTATCGCGAGACCGAATCGTTATACTCGAAATAATACATGCATCTTTGGAGCTGATCCAGCGCGCGAGCTTATTTTTCTGTTGCTACAATATCATCCGTTTTAAGTAAAGCGACCGCTGCGTGGCGTATGCTTCTTGTGTGGCCAAGCTTAAGATCAGAAAGCCAAAATGAAGATAGCAAATTACCTTGGCATCGATCACATGCGTCGCCAAAAAGGGAAAAACATTATCAAACGCGTTAATTTAATTACTTCGATAGTGATGCTAATTGTATCCTCCCGGTATTCGCCGTTGATGTTCGTTTCGAGAACAGACCGCGTTGAATTGTGGCACGTTTAACAATCCCAACGAGACAAAAATAAAGAAATACACAGCGGCGGCTATAAATATTCGTATGCGCGCATCGTCGCGCGTGGCTAAAGGGTTAAAGGTATCTTTTCATGCTGACGCTCGACGCTCATTTTTAGCGTCAAAACAAATCACATGATCAAAATTGACGAATACCAAGTAACAATTTTGATCATGTGATCTGTTTTGATGCTAAAAATGAACGTCGAGCGTCAGTATGAAAAGGCACCTTAAAGTCGCTGCAACCGCTTGCAAGGCGAGTGAGATCGTAATTTGACACGGATCTGCATACCGCGAAGTTCGCTGATGATCATTTGGCGAACGGTCGCGACGGTACAAGGAATGGTGAGCATCCGATTTCCTGGATGAGCTCGCTCTCCGTCGCTCCAACGAACGTCCTCGAAACGCTTCAAACGAGACGGCGTAATAATGTCATTATTAACGTCAAGGGATTTTACGACGCGTTAATTTGCGCCATCCCGTCTCTGTTTCTCTTTCTCGTGCCGGCACGCCGACATTTAATTGGAAAAGGAATCGCGCGAATACGCGGTATCGAAGCAAATCGTTGCGCCATAAACAAATAACGAAACTCGGTGCGCGCCTCGAAGAATGCAGAACCGGTCCTTTAGAGAATCGAAAATTCCACCTGTCGGCTCCTGCAACGCGCTCGCGCAAAATCTATATCCACCTCCTCTTTACAACATGTTGCTTCATTCCGAAGTAAATCTATGTTTTTGCTTCTGGCGATTACGGTATTTGTTAGACGTAAGGATTGCAAATAAATCGCCGGAGGATTCTGCTTCGCATCGAGCGATGCAGATGAATAAGACGGTGCACACCCTCTCGTATGTGTCAAGAGGGATGAATAGGAGTCGACTTGCATAGAACAATAGAGTTAACATATAATTGCGAAACAAAGATACGCCTCCACTTGTTAATCGCGGTTTGAATCTTCGTGAAGAACCTTTCTGAATACGTGTCACGGATGAAATTAAATAAGGATATCAAAATATAAAATAAATTATTTTTCTAAAATATTAATATAATTCAAAGTATTAAAAATAAATCTACATGTGAACTAGCTTTATTGTGAATTAAATATCGTAGCACAACTTGCATATAAACTGTTGTATGATTTAACCTTGTCTAATATTTTAAGGCATTTAATTTTGTAAATGATGCAATTTTTATGTATTTATTGTTAAAATTCAATTATTTTCTTTAGATTCGCTTGTATATGCAATCAATTAAATTATCAAAATAATCATTGAGAATCTCCATTTATTCAAAAGTTGTGTGCCTGTAATCGCGTTGACGATACCGATCCATTTAAATCTAAATTTATTACTTTGATAAAAAAAATTTAATTGTTTATTATTGAAGATTACATTTTTTATTTTCAGAAATTATTTATGAATTAACATATGTTATGTTAAGTATAATTATCTTTTTATTTATTTGATAAAATAATTATTTAAATTATTATAAAATTAAAAGTGAAAACATAAAATCCTAATATATAATATTATATAAATGAATCAAATTTAAACCTTAATATATAAGTTTAAATCATAAAATAAAAATAATAAGTCGTACTTACGCTGTCACGCGGTGCTCCTTGATTTTTTACTCCTCTCTTGGCTTTTTCATGACACTTACAACACTCACTCGTGAAAACAAAGTTAATTATGTCTGCCGGTACTAATAGATTTGGATAGTATGGTATTTCTGTGATCACGTACACGACATACATTTTATTTGGCGAGATAATAATTCACAATTATTCGAAATAATATATATATATATCGCAATTGAAATCTATTTGTATTTGTTGCGACCATGTTTCAAGAAATAATGTGAGGACCCACGAAGCGATATGATGATGAGGCACTCCCGACTTTAATCGTATACGACATTTTATTGTATATTGAGAGCTAATAATTTAAAATTGTTCGTAAGGAATAATCACAATTGCAGTTCATTAGTACTTCATATGTCGAGAAGTAATGCGACAGAATGGTCCGTCCCGTGCTACCTGCCTGTTTGACTCTCTCCTTAAGAATGATAACAACTCGCTTGTGTAACGATCGCGCGCTACGTGCTGCGACACTTGTTTTGATTTTATGACGTATTCTCCGTCGCGCCGTTGTCGTATACACGTAATTTGTTATCGTTTCCAAGACGAAAATCTAATCGACAAGCAATGGCGCTGGCCGCTGCAGCATTCCTTCCCGAAGCGTGAAAAATAGAGAATCCAAACGCGACTGTTCCTTACGAATAATTCTAGATAATTACCGACTTGTGCAAATAATCTTCTACAGTTAATAATTGATAAACGTATCGAGACGATGTTTATCACAACAGATAGGTATTTCATGTACGATTTTAAATTAAAAATCTTTTCTAAAGTAAAAATCAAAGACCAACTTAGGAGCTGGGAATTATAAATTATTACGTTGTTTGGATACATATTTATAGGCAGTAATTTTTTTTCTCGTCGAATATTCAAATATATATGATACATATATTTAATGTTTGATTGTAGTGGGGAAGAATACGCGCGATATTCATTTTGATTTGGCGGCGGATGCCGCCGTTGTATTGTATACGTAGTTTGTTATCATTCGCTCGATGAGAGTCAAGCAGACAGGTAACGGTGCGCGCACAGATCGCTCTGTACGCCGTCATATTATTTCTCAAAACGCGACCGTGATAAGTACTGTCAGATTCCGATCGTATTCTTCACGAACAATTATGGATTATTGTAATATAATGGCGTGTCGTGTACGATTAAAGCCCGGAATATCGTACAGTTTAACTATTAATACGGATAAAGTCGTCATTAATTTCGTGAGTGAACGTTATGTGAGTACTACGATGAAAAAACAAGAGAGGAAAAGGAAGTCACAAAAAATCGATCGATGGAGCAATCGTAAAGTGAATATATACGCGACTTATTATTTTTATTATATGAATAAAATTTTTATTTAAAAATATTACTTATAAAATTGTTTTAATACTCGATTGTATGACTTTATGTGAAATTTTATAATAATTTATATAATTATTTTATATTAAATATTTATTTATTTAAAGAAAAAACTAATAAAAATGTTAATATGTGCAGCAATTATTCTTTGAGATATTATTTATTTTGTGAACACTGCTATAATCAAAATCTTATATTTTTATTTTACAGATCAACGTAGTTTCAACATATATAGTCTACCATCTGTTGTTGCGCATCGTATCGGTGAGTGATAAATCAACTTTTATTTTAGCTTGAAGTAATGGATCTGTGAAAATCAGACATATATAAAATGTATATTTAAAAAAGATATGAAAAAAGAAGGAAAAATCTTTTTCTGAAATCAAAATTTCATAGATTCAATACCTATATTTTAATATGGATAGGCTAGAACTGATTAGTGATGTATTCAATTCTAAAACATATACAATCATGTATTAGTATCTTATTATATGATAAAAAACTAATACAAAATAGTTCCAAATTTATTCATTCTCCAATTCGTAAATATAATTAAAAAAATAATAAGGAATAAAAAGGTATAAAGCTTTTATTTAATTTTATTTTCTTTGTGGCATTTATCTCTCATAAATGATAAAATCGAAAAATAAGATTTTAATTTATAATGACATTTATAAAACAAAGGAAAACAAATTGTTAATATCTAAATGCGTTATTTTATTTTCCTATCTTTCCTTTTCCCAATTTTTGAAAAATAGGATTTGAGAATCCTTCTAGCCTTTTTGCATAAATTCATCTGCAGAATTAAATAATGTATATATTTTTAGAATTAGAGATTGTACAAATCAGCGCAAGAGAGAATTATTAAAAATTTGTTTTCAATAAGCATATTGATAAGATAAATAAAAAAAACAAAATATTTTATAATTACATAGCATATTTTAACAAACTTGTTCATGATTAGTAATTATATTTATTCTTTCAGTACACAAATCTTTGTATCTTCTAATCTATTATAGCCTATCCATATATATTTATTTATATACAAATCTATTATCCGATTTAATGTCACTTGAAACATATTTTATCTACGGGTTAAATCGCTGGGAGTTTATTAGCGCGCTTCACAGAAAAAAAATGTTAAGGAATTCTATTTATACCGCTGATGACTTCGATGTTTTTCTATCGTATGCGTCAAAGATACGTGTAAGCCAAAACATAATCGCTGACGTATTTGATACGTCATCACACGGAGCATCGACGCGAGATTGAATACGTGAGATTTTTGCGTAAGAGCGCCGCTATACGTGCGTACGGCCGCAGGCAGACGCCGCGCGTCGTCGGTCTGCGCCAAAAATAACGCTCATTGATTTAGCGTTCTGAATGAATGAGCTCGCGACGTAGAATGAGACAGCCCGTTGAAAAAGGGGTGCCGTTATGTATGGCCATCGAAGAGAATGGCACAATATCCAGAAAACGTGGAAGCTTCCCTCTTTCTTCGAATACGTTTTAACGTATACCTATATACGTATATTACGTCGTGGAATGGATGGCGGACGTAGGATCACGCGCGGCTATACCGCCTACGTACCGCGGTAATATCACCCCTCGGCTCTTGTGTCCGCGATTTTGACCGTAAATAATCTGAATATTCGGCCAAGCCGCAACGAACGACAGAGCCAGCTTCTGCTTTATTATCCGTTCGCTTATACGCGAGACAGTCGCGTATAGCTTTAATCGACAATTGATGCTGCGTTCGGCTAGACTTCTTCTGTACCGTCGTTTGCCTGAATAAAGATTTTCGCGCAACGATCCAACGATCACGATTAGATTTGCGAATCGAAGCACGAGCACTGATATGTATTATCGCGGAGTGTGAAACGATCGGCATTCATTTTCTTGTGTTTCTTTTTTCACGCTGCGTTGACTGACGCCTCTGTCTCGCGAGAGATTCGACGGTCGTCGCACGTCGCGATGACAGATTGCATTCTCCTTTTATTGCTCATTTGCACATAAAGAGTCTTTCATCTCTGTAATTCGCGATGAATGACTCCGACATTGACGTTCGTTTCGACTAGATAGCGAGTTTGCGGCGTCTAGAGTCGAGTGCAAAGTTGAAGCATTTTCCGGCTATTGTTTGCTTTTCTGCCTCGATCGTTCATTTGTAAAGCTCGCACTTGACATTCCATCTGGAATACAAGGGTTAGAAACGCCGTGGCGTAATCGCCTTGAAAATGACGCCGTTGCATTGCCGTCGCGCCACGACGTCATATACAGGATTTTTCAAATACGGATTTGCGTTATTATGTGCTATTTATCGTGAAAAAAAAAACGGTATCAACAACGGTATATATTTGAGAAGAAAAGAATTAAATATAATTTAATATCGAGTTTAATCTTCCATAAAAATTGCAATCGATCCGTGCAATATGTTTTATAAATAAAAATTAAGTGAATTTTAATTAATTTTAATTACTGTATTAGGGAAGGACTATATAATTATAGACAAACGAATAAATAATAGATATTTTACAGGGGAATACATCCGTTATTACGTTATTATGAAAATAGTCGAAATATTTCGAGAACACAGATCTCTTCTGCCGCAATTAATTTTTTTAATGGAATATGCATTTCTTTGAAAATTTTAGGCAATATCTTTAGCATCTAAGATTTTACGTTAGCTTAGCAATTTGAAAATCTTTCGTTCTTAGATACCAAAAATGGCATTTGAAGCGAGCAGTACAATCACTGTTATTATTTGCAGCCACATGCTTCTCGCGCTGTACGTGCGTGAGGCAAACGTAGAACCCCATGCGTCTCCAAGTTTATTTTATGCTTACTACGCTTGAGCCTGCCTCAACACTACCTTCTCTCGTTGCTCCTATACCTCTCTTTGCCGTCCGTATAATGAAACGGTAATTCCTCGTCGCACGTGGCTGATTCCTTTACGAAGACGACGTTAGTAGTGCCTCGAGAGTGTCGTTTAAACCGCCGAGGAACATGCCCGCGACACGTTCGGTGCTTGGGTGCAACATTAGGTTTTATTTACTACTCATTTACATAATTCTATTGTCATTGATACTCGTATAATTACATAATCCACTTGTGGAACGTGAATGTTCAACAACGAATGTTAGTCGATTTCTACTTTAATGTTAAAGCAATTTTTAAGACCATTTTTACGTCATATTGATGGCATTGTGGTGACATTGTCAAAATTGTTCTACGTTTCAGTTTGTCGTTTTATGTCTCGCGCGCGCGGAATGTATGTATGTACGACGATAAAAATGCGTCGACGAAAATGATATCGATCAGTGACATTTGCCGCGTCGCAAGGTTAAAAGGCCATCGTGAAAATGCCAGTATCGGTGAAGGAAGCATTAACGAGGAGCGGCGGATTAATTGCGGACGGAGGGAGCGAGAAACGCGGTATCTTGTTCGTGAAATTTCCTTTTATATATTTTTCGGCGCTCGGTCGGAGTTAATGGGAGCTTGGGGATACAGGGACACCGTTGACGTCATTCAGTGCTATACGCTCACCACTACAACGCTAATCGGACCGCATCTCTCGCGATGCACCACGACGACTTTTCTCGAGTTAGTCGATAGCATCCCCGGCAGCATGAAAACAGGGACGGAAATTAGCTGTGGTTTCTAAATTCTACTCGACACACACGTCACGGATCATCGACGGATGTCGATAGTGCGCGTAGGTCGAGACGCTGACGGATTTCATCGAGCATCCGCATCCGAAAAATGCGGAAGAAGCTTTAACGCAAGAAAATCGCGATCGCGATTCTTTGCACGAAACAGCATTAAAAAGAACCCCACGCGCGTCAGCTACATAAATTAAAAATTTCTCGTGACCAAATATTTTGTCGTAACGCGAAAACGGATCTACGCTCCTACGACTCGAACGACGCTATTTGTTTCGCTGCTCCGTCGAGTTCATCGCAATTTCACTAGAGGTGACGTATACGTACCGAATCGATTGCAAATATTATATATGTACAGTGACTGTCGCACTTATGATCGACGGAAAAAAATCGTGCTTCGTGAGTAATGCCTGATGTAATGAATGTATGTATATGTCGCAGTCTTTTTGTATAATCAGCCTTTTTGCATAACGCACTGGTTTCGCCTTGTAAAATACATACGTGGAGGCAGTATGTTCGCCTCTCCCTTCCTCTACGGAGGGGGGGGGGCTCCACCTAAAAAAAACTAACCTAACCCAAACCATTTCTTGGTGTGGGGTAAACCTTGCTTCGCGTAAAAAGTTGTAAACCCATGTGGGACCTCGCTTTGCCGTTGTAGTGTTAGCGCGAAGGTATATTTTATCGAATAACCGGGCTAAATCCGCAATAAAATAATAGTGGCTGACTTTGCCGCTGGATGGGCAGTGTTGACTTTGCCCACATAAAACCGGGCAATGTCGTTATTTTCAAAGGCATTATGCAAAAAGGCTGATTATACAAAAAGGCTGCGACATATATATATATATATATATAAGGCGCAATACGGCGGTTAGCGGCGCGGTTCGGTTATGGCGGCGACACGACGATTTTGTTTTTCCGCCGAAACGGGACGATCGTAGAAATGGATTTTTGCGTGGTCGCGTCCCAGACTACCGTCTACTTACGTGGGTAGATATAGAGTCAGCAACGCCCACGTCGTCGCCGGGCTGCTGCTGCTGCTGCTGGTGCTGGTGCTGGTGCTCCGCGGCTGCTGCTGCCGTTGCCGGCGAGGGTGGCCCGCCGCCACCGGGCGAAAATGTCAGACTCGCCGGCTGATACGTTACACCCACGCGCCGGAAAGTGGGGCAAAGTCGATTCATTCATCTACTGATTCATAAGTGTGGGCGTAAGAGCGTAAGGGTTGCGCGCGGGGCCGCTGGCGCCCCCCCCCCCCCATCCTCCCGCGTTTTGTGTACAACGGAGATCCTTCCCCCTATCATGGACGGGATAAAACGTTAAGATCCCTTCGAGATGTCCCCTTACCCGCATCCACCACCGTCACCGACTACGTCTTCCGCGACTTTCTCAGCGAGCTTTCGAGCTCTCGCCGACGTATGTTCCCGGGAGTGAAAACGTGTCGTGTGCCGCGACGAGTTTACTCCCGCGGGAGTGCCATCGTGTGTGTTCGGAGAATTATACGTGTTGCTGTGAGAGTATGCTTAACTATGTGATAAACCGATACAGGATGTCGGCTTTTCTGTACGTGTTATTACTTAGGTAAGTCTCTGCACACGAAAGACTTCTGCTTTCACGAACGTTTCATGCTTACTGCGACTTGATGTAAAGCGGAGTTCGATTGCACCAGCATACGCAACTTTGGAATAGTGTAAACACGTGTTTTAGAACTGCGAAGGTATAAAAGTACGATCATACGGCATTACGAATGAATTTCGTGAACATTAACACTTAAGGATTTGCACATTAAATTGTTTAGAATAATTTTTTTATAAATTTTTTTATTTTACAAAATTGTCTTGTATCATATTTAATGTAGTTTAACCAGCAACGTAAATAACCAGAATTTTACATTAATATGGGGTACTGTTATGTAAAGTAAACACATTGGCTCGCGTTATATTATGTTAACGTTAGAAATGAAATCGCGTCGATTTATCTGGGAAGAATTTCTCGTCTGACGTAAATCCTCCGCACGCTAGCTATGCATATATGTATGTGTTTCCTTATAACATCTCTGATATTTTCGTTAAAGTAGAACTACGCGATTTCGAGTATAATACGCAATTTATTACCAAAATCATGATAATTACACACTTCGCGAAATGTCTGTCATTGCAATTACATTCATTTCCACAATTAAGGTATATATATTCTTTGAAAAACACGGCGGCAAAAAATGTCATAATAAGAAAAAAAAACGCTAAGCTTTACTTTTATTCGATTACAATTGATTGTTCAAGCCGAAAATTTCTCTTGGGATTGGGATCACAGCACGATGCAAGTGAAGACCTTTATGTAGATATCCTTGAAAATCACGAATATTTACTCCTTCATCACTAAAGCTTCCAGCAGATCTCTTTCTGCTTCTAAAATCACCCATCCACCGTGCGGATATTCTATACACCGCTAAACACAATGCACCGTCTGCTATTTCTGGCTGTGCGCCATTGTCGATAACCTTTGCATTGTCGAGCCGATGATGGGAGTATCGCGATAGGAATACCGTCTGCGGGGTAGCACCCAGTGTCCGCCGTCTGTCGTTGGCGATTCGTGAAATTGGTCGAAACTCGATGGTCTTTCGGCAATGCTGAAGGTCAGAGGTCACATGAGAAAGGTCACAGCAGCTGGACATTGGACGGTACAAATAAGATTGGAACGTATCGGGATATAATTTATCTGACAGTTATATCTGATTTCATGTATTGCTACTGTTTTGTAATATCCATTGTGACACAAGCGTGTTACATTAATAGATAGGGCGGATTAGGGGTTTTGTAGAAGACGATATTTTTCTCTCTTTTTTGTTGTGCAATTTACGTCACACATGTGCATATCTACGTAAGTCTATTGACGTATTGAAATAAATTGCAGTTATTTGGAATTTACAAAAATGTAAGAACACGCGATGAATATTTTTTATTTCCTTGTATTTTAAATTAATTAAATAATATTCAGTAAATATTCAAAAATCAACGGCAAATAATGTGAGCGTTGGAACACATGTGATCCATCAGAAAAATAACAGCACAGTGAACATAAGAATTTCGCTGAACAAGCCACGCGAAGACGCCGTATGAATTTCGGACTCTTAAAAGCACCATGTATCAACAAATCGGTATCCCGCGTAAAATTCAAAGAACAGAGGATGCTAGGCTTCATTTTTTTCCCGCTATTCATACGCACAGCCTAAATCTTCAGGGAAGAGCAGGAGAAGACAAGACGCGATGAGAGAAACGAATCGAGCCGACCGCCTACACTTTCCTTCGTAGTTTTTTGTTCCCAGCTGGCGCCCTCGCAAAATTGGAATTCGTCGGCCAAAAATAGAATGCTGATCACAATAGTAGAGCGGGAATAAAAAAAAATAGATGAAGAGGTCTTCGAGTTCTTGGATATATCGCATGATATTCCTCACGCGAAACTAATCGGGCTTAATAAAGAAGAAAGATTGAGAAGATATAAAATATAATAAATTCTATCGATTTTCGAGACGTATCTAGACGTATAAATTTACACAGATATATTAGTTTTACTATTTCTATATTTGATTTTCCTCTACGCAACTTAAGATAACTACATCTTAAGATAACTATAACACACTAATCAATAGATTTTATTATTTTTTAATTAAATATTTTCTCTTGCCACTGAATATAGTTACTGATTTATTTTTTGCATAGCAAAATGTGAATATTTCCGAATGATTTATACTCGGAAAGCGGAGAAAAAACTGTAGACTTGTAGAAACTTGTAGCTACGTTTTGGTTATGGGCTTTACCTGAAAATTTTTTAAACCTATTTTTCGCCCCGGTTCTATAAAGCGGCACTAAAGAAAGCCTATAACTGACATCCATGTAATTTTAACGAGAAGATATTTGCCGGTTGAAGGTTTTATTTGAGGAGTCCGCTGCAGCTGGCTGCGTTTTTTACAAAGTCGTTTATGATACACTCTATCTTTTGTACTATATGGCGTCTTGTTAAGTTTTTCCATTTTTAGCCAAGCCTGTGAACATGAAACAGGTCGATGTTAGGTTTAGGTCGACGTTAGGCCGCTGTAAACTACATGTTCGGGATTTTGAGATCCTTCAGAGTTTAATCAATGTTCGAACGCATCGAATTCATAAATCATTTACGGCGATTGTACGCATTCACTTAAAGGAATAATTCTGCGACGTAACGTACAATTTCGATCGAAGGTGCGAGCGTGCATCGTGTGCGGTCCTCGGCGTTCAATCCAGTTTATCGACTAAATCATCCGCTGTATCATCGAGTTACATATGCAGTGGCCAATGACCGTTTATTACACAATCGGTGTTTATACGTTGTAATCGCAGTTGCTGATAACAAAGCATGAAGATGAGAGAGAGAGAGAGAATAAATATTAGTTCTTTATACATATTTAATTATTATTTACTCATATACATTTACTAATGTAGTATAATAATTAAATTTGCATATTCTCTGTTGTTTTATCTCTTATTTCGCATACATGTTTCATGTTACTCAAGTCGATATTGTGTAAGCAAATGCAAGGAACACAGAATTATTAAAAAATATTATACACATTTGCGACATAGTAATTTAAAAGTCATTCTGTCAAGCATAGTAGCAAAGCGATGAATAAATAAGTTATGTCACTGACATGTGTTTCTACAAACAATACTGTCGCATTAAAGACGCCAATCAAACGTGATATTTGCGTGCAAGTATCATCATAAATAATTTTCTACGTGATGCGCGCGTGTATATAAATGTAGGGCACGTGATCTGCCATTCTTTCGACTAACTCCTCCTTTTGTGGCAAAGTGATCTATATGTATCTGCAGATAAACGTACGTTTAGAGCCTCCTCTGGAGGATTTCTGTCCGTGGGACAAGGATCGATGCAGCCAAATACTTGTGTTAAACTTAGTGAGTGTAACCTTAAACGTTCATTGTGCCCGTCTTGCGATCGCGGGTCTTGACCCTCGATATCGGCAATCGAGTTTGGCGATTGCCCAAATCGATTTGCGGATGTAGAGCACCCGCCAGTGAGCCGCAGGCATAGGAAGGATGTTAACCGAGAAAAATGAACGATTACGTAACATAGCAAGTCTTGCGCTATACCAGGTGATTTAATCTGCAGCTTCGTATAATTTAGTAGAATATTGTTTTCAAAATTATATTAATAATTCATGATAAATTACTGTTACATGCAACTGCTAAAAATGATGTAATTATTAATTATATCGTTAAACATATTAGAACATTGTTACAACATTGCCACAATTGTCCGATTACTACAATTGCGCGTGTTTTCTACGTTCTTTGAAATTAGTCTTGTCGCTCGCATACGACGACATTCTATTTCTATACAGCTTCGAGTTCCAGCGAAGCTTTCCGCTGTGGGACGCGAGAGACGCCGAGGTGTTGGGTGATCGCGCGAGTTGTAAAGCTACAAGACAACACTTTAAACGCACGCCCCGCGGAGACGCACGCGTGAGATATGGACGCGTAATGTAACACGATAATATGAGTTTCGGAGTAATTGTTTACGCGTGCCAAGTGAGTTATTTGGCGCGTGGCCACGCGGGGGGATAACGGGGACGGCACCCACGTGGTCGGCCGACTGCCCGCGGGATTTTCCCTCTCTTTCATGCCTCCGTAGCTCCTCGATGATGGCTTTTTCTTCTTCTTCGTTCCGCACTCTCGTACGGTTTACGCGCCGCACGCAACAAAGAAACGTTTCCGAAGTAATGCAGCCACGAAGGGTAACAAAGCGCTTTCTACATTACGTCTCTTCGGCTTTATAGCTTTATTCCGCGAAACTATTATTACTCCTACAAAGTTAAGGGAAACAATGAAGCAGTTCTGTTACATTACGACATTTTTGTACGGCAGATATAAACTTGAAATCTCGCCTCGCATTGACATAATGTCGAAGTTATATGATCTATTAATATTTTTCGTGTATTATATATATATATATATATATATATATATGATACAATAATTTTACACACACACACACACACACACACACACACACACACACACACACACACACACAC